ATCTCACCCCTGAATAACTGACCTGAACTATAAGCTCTAGGCCTGTCTATATCAGAGACAAGATGCAAGATGAATGCAAAAATGAGCCAGACGTCTGATTCCAAAGGAAGAAGCCATTTATGCATTAGGCATTTATTCAGCACCTTTTGTGTTCAGAGTTGTGGCAGAGGCTGATTAATTACAATTCTAGCTTTACAATTAACCGTGCCCACCACTAAAATCCTACAATGTATATATCTTCTATGTACAGTTATTTATATGTTGTCTCCCACGTTAAAATGGGAGGTCCTTGAGGGCAGGGACTATGCTTTCTTTGTATCCCCAGTGCTTAGCACAATTTCTGTGTGTGTGTGTGTGTGTGTGTGTGTGTGTGTGTGTGTGTAGGGTACTTAAATGCTTACTGAGTACTCAAACCACTCATCATGATGTGCAAGAGAATTTGAGTTCTTAAACATTATAAAGGTTTTACCAAGCTACAAAAGCGCAGAGAGCACACTTAGGAAACTGCAAGCCTGTCTCCCTTAAAACCAGCTTAATGTAGTTCAGAGAGGGTTGTCTACCAAGGGATGAATCTTGGGACCCAGAAACCCATTAAGACTAAGGTGGGGAGAGCTTACAAACTGCAGTGGTGGAGAGAAGAGCCACACCTATGAAATCACAGGTATTTGAAATTGCTTGTGCCTAACTTTAGTACAAGTCTCTTCTTATTTCATTTTTTTAAGTCTATAAAGAGAATGATTTTGAAAATGTTCATTATTATTACCTGAGATTAGAGCTGAGCAAAGCAAAAACTCTAACAATCCTGACAACCAGCCACTGAAAGGTACTAAGAGAGAAAAGTCTTATTCCAACTTTTACAGACATGATAAAAAAAAAAGTTACCTCCCCTGAGATCAGAGTTGGGGCCTTGGATTTTCTCTCCCACACACAAAAACCCCAAGTCCCGGCTCTAGGAAGAGTGTCTTGCTGCAAAAGACCAACTCCCTGAGGAGCCAATCTCCACTGTGCCAAAGCTTAGGTCGTCTCTTCCTGATTAACTTGCATTAGCTACATTTTAAAAACTGTAATTAGGTTATTTGAGAAGAATGGAAGCATTTTTCTCTAACTGTGAAGATACTGTGCCCTTGATCCTTCGAAGCAGGGTGCTGGCTGTGCCAACAACATCCAGCCCTACAGCTCCAGGGACTTTTAAAACTACACCTTTACCAACTAAATCCCAAGACTAAGAATTCCCAGGGGGATGATTTCAGGGAGAAAAAAATCTCCCCACAAAAAAGAATACCTTCCCCACCATCCAAATCACGCCTGAAAATTCTGCAATTGGAAGTGCATTCCTTTGGCAAACAGTTTTATTCCAAGTTAAAGTACAAATCCCTTGTGAAAGGTACAATATTAAGCCTCGTTCATTTTTTTATAACTTGGTGCCAGGTGAATTGGATGTGGGAGGGAGCAGTAAGGGTAGAGCATGCATGAGGACATTGGGCATCTGAGGAAAGGAAAGAGGAGGGTGAAAAGAGAAAGGGTCAGAAAGTAGGAAGTGGGAAGACCAATTGTCCCTAACTTTATCGTAATCTAAGGTCCACCCTGACTCTATTCCTTGAGTTATCAATTTTTAATCAGTCAGTCCAAGACTACTAAGGACAGCAGGTCTTCTAGAAATGAATCATAGATAAAGAAGAGATTTAGAGCATCAAAATAACCCTCAACACTTTCCAAGCTTCATAGGGGATTATCAGCCCAGCCTAGCCAAAGCCCCAATCTCTAAATAAGCTCCCTAAAGAAAAGACACATCCTATAAAGAACAAGGCAACTAATGAGAAAATAAACTGGCTAGGTTTTAACCACCTCATTCCTGTGGCTCAGTTTCTCATCTCATCTGAATGGCTTAGTCACCTGGACTAGAACCTTTAGAAATTCCACAAATGTAAACAGAACAGTAATTAGCAGCACAAAGCAGAAAAATCATTCTTTTTCTTTTCTTCCTCTTCTCTTCTCTTTCTTTTTTCTTCTCTCTTTTCTTCCTTTCTTAGCCAGGAAAAAATCCTGCTTGTTATGAAATGGGTAAGTAAGCTTTCTAAAGAAATGAAAACTAAAATAGAAGCAATAGAAACAATAACACCCCCAACACAAATATTTCTCACACTTTTTTTTTTTCCAAATACTTAAATTCAAATGTAGCTGTGGGTCTTAACCTGTCCAAGCCTGCCCTTCCTATACAAGTCTTGCCCATGTCATCCCAAAATTTGCCACAAGGGGTCACCCAATGTGCTGGAGGCTTTCATTGTTCTCCTGCCATTGAGTATATACCAGTGGAGAATTAGGGCTATCTACGTGTTATCCCTCAGTTTAGCCACATGACCAATCTATCTTCTTTTTCACTTATTGATGGTCCTGATGACATCTTTTACTCCACCTCTTCTTTGAAGTTCCCTATTTGTTATATGATGCTACCTGCTCATACTCACCAGTGCCTCTCCATTGCCCTCTATGTGACACTCATTTTTAATTCTCCAGAGATGGTAGTGTATTATTCAATGACCCACAGCAATCATACAACTATTGGCATTAAAAAAAAGACCTTTGTTTCTAGAAGGTGTATGAGAGTCATTAAAGGAGCTTTGTAATTTTCCTAAAGGCAATCCAGCCCTTTTTCCAACTCCTGTTTAACTCTGGGCCCAAGACATCATCTGCCCCATCAGTCATATACAGACTGATAGACAGACTCTATATATTATCCAACTTTACAGTTATTTAATATTGACCTAGCAAGAGAAAACTTGCAAAGCAAAAACAAAGCCAATACTCTGAAATTATGAAAATGTTCTCTCATAAATTCAACAACACAAGCCAACAAACATGCAAGGTTCTGAAGATAACCAAGAAAAAAAGCATACTGCCCTGACCTCAACAAGCTTCCATTCTCCAAGGTAGAGATACAAGGACATAAATAATTATGATACAAGTTGAAGAAGGTTAGATCACTAACAGATGGGAGAGATTCTGGGAAGGCTTCACAGAGATGGCTGAACATAAATTGAGCCTTCCCAGGAAAATCCAAGATTCTTCAAGGCAGAGAGAGGAGGGAATGCATTTCAGGCAGTGGGGATGCCTTGCATGGATGTAAAAAGGCAGTTGAAATGGTGTGTCAAGTGTAGGAGACAGCTAATAGTCAAATTCCTCTGGGAAGTAGAGTTCTTAAAAAAGAACAATATGAAATAAGGTTAGGAAGGAAAGTAGGAGCCAGAGTCCATGTCACAAAAGAAGCTTAAGAACCCCTGGTCTAGACAGAAAGGTAATGATTTCCATTTTACATAAGTTGAATATGAGATTTTGTTGGAACATCTAGGGAATGCCCTCTCAGACAGTCATTACTATAGGCCTAGAGCTCAGGAGAGATATTAGGGCTGAATATATAGATTTGGGAGGGCAGCCATCCAAAGAGAGGCTGTATGGTCCATTCTAGCTCTGAAAGCCTGTGATTCTGGGTATAGAAAGAAAAGAAGGTTCAGGACAGAGCCCAAGGGGACACCCATGTTAATGGGACAGAATATAAACAATGAATATAGGATCATAGATTTAGAGCTGAATGGGACTTGAAAAGTCATTGAGTCCAGTCTCCTTCATTTTGAAGACGAGGCACCGGAGCTTAAGTGACTTTCCCAGGCTTACTAATGGATTAAGTGTCTCTGGGGAATTTTGAACTTCGTAGCTCCAACCTCTATCCATTGAAACACATTAATGACTCCAACAAAGGGCATTATGGAGTGGTTAGATGGGAAAGAGAAGTATCATGAATGGGAGAAAGAATATGAAGAAGGGAGTGGTGAATAGCAGGAAATGATGCAAAGAAAACATGATAGTATCTAATCTAATCTAATGTGGGTAGGGATGGAGGACCTAAGAAATGAGAATTGTAGACTACTTGGGCACATATTGCATTCTGTGCATTCTACTTATCCTCTAGAAAAAGAAGCTGCTTTTGGCAGTGAAGGTGGTTTTCCTTTCTCACAACACACACACAGCTGCTTTTTCCATAAGAACATATATTGCTGACAGGTGAGGACTCAGGTATGTGCCATGCTGCCAAATCTAATCAGGGAGAACCAGAAGCAGCCTCTCTCTCTGGCCCTCCAGGGCATCTTCCCTGAATTAAAAACTGCAGAGGTCATCAACCTCATCACCTCAGGTTCCACAACCAGCTGAGGAGGGTTTATTCTGGCCTGTCAGCCAACTCAACTGGAAGTTATTAGAGTTCTCAGGAACAAAATGGGCTAAACTAGCCTTAAATACACCATAATGTTACCAAATGTGGGGCCAATCCCACAAGCAAAATTAGCTGAGCTGAAAATCTACCTTTGTGATTATGTCTAAACCCCAGAGTGTACTCAAAAAAAAAAAATGATGAGGACAGAGATTCTGGCCCCTGCCCTGTTCTCTCTAATTTAAGTAAATGCCAAAACTCTATCATTGGGTTTGAGATTGGTGTCAATAGCCTCAGAGCAGCTAAAACCAAAAAGGAATTTATTCCCCTAAAAGGAATGAAAATTACACCACAATGTGTTTCTCAGTCCCATTACCTGAAAGGTAATAATAGCCCAATTAATCAGTCACCTCACATTGATTTTAAGTTCGACTCAGTGTAAATATACTACCACAGGCCAACTAAGCTTCTCTTCTTTCCATTCTGCAATATTTATTGGGATTCAGAACAGGAAATTTAGAAGAAGGGAGGGAAAAAGCCTTGTGAGGTTCTGTCAGCAAATTCTAAGAGAAAGAGCTGATAACAATTTCCCCTTGCCACCTCTCCACTCAAAGCCAACCAGGCTGCTCAAAACATCCAATGGCCATTTCACAGGAGGACAGCCCACGATAAGAAGAAACTGCTTAGACTCACCTGGGATCAGATAAAAGAGCAACTGAACATTTCTTTCTTGACAAGAAAGACTATGAGGAAGTTAGTTTCTTTTCAAATAAGTAAATAGCCTATGATTAATACTTACACAACCTCCAGCAAGGATTTCAGCTAATATTGGAATAGAGCCATCTCTTCGGGTGAATTTGTCTCGAACAAAGTCATTAACCTGATTAAAAAGATAAGAGTAGTAAGAAAAATTCTTTCCAACAGTTCCCATATCCTTTTTCTTCTACAGACACATAACTGTTTTCCTTCTCCTATCAAGGGCACGTTGTATGTCATAATTCAAAACCAGTACATGGCTATTTATAAATTTACATTTTTCAAAGCTGTATTTTAAGACTCTGCTGGTCTCAATAACCCAAATCCCCTTTTTTTCTTAATAAAATTTGAACAAAGGATTCAAGGCAAAGTGAATTACTCCAAATTTTTAAAAAAAGAACATTACTTACAGTCAGTTTAATGGCCTTTTCTGGAGCAACCCCTATAAGTTGGGGCACCAGACCTAGGTAAACAAAGATGATCATCAGGAATAATAGACTTGTGAAGATTAAGCCAATAAAAATCTAACTTTCAGAAGAGGAAGGCAGTTAGGTGACACAGAGGCTAGAATGCTGGACTTGCAATCAGGAAGACCAGAGTATAAATCCTGCCTCAGACATTTAATTAGCTGTGAGACTCTGGACAAGTCACCTCATCTCTCTCATCCTCAGTTCCTCATATGTAAAATGGGGATAATAGTAGTATCTACTCCACAGAGTTGTTGTGAGGATCAAATGAGATAACATATGTAAAAGCCAAGAAACTTTACATGCTCCGTAAATTCTATTATCATCATTATTATTATAATCATTATCACTAACATCATCTATCCAGCAAATTCTTTAGGACTTCCCTTAAAACTAATAACAAAACCAGATCATAATATAAATTTTCATATGAGTATACAAAGTGACTAATTGTGTCAAAAATAAATTTTCTATTTTCATGAACTTATCAATTATTTTTTCTACATATAATAAGTCTACTCATCCAGCACCTCTCCAAAAATACATAAGAAAAGAATGAAAAATGTGGACATCTCCATACCTAAGACACAGTCAGCATCAATAAAAAAATAAAATTATATTAATCTACATATCTATTAGTCTGCAGATCTAAACAAATCAAGAAAGATTCTTTCTTAAAGTCACAGGTTTTGATAAATAGATGAAAGTTTATTGTTAACTAGACCCTTACTGCTATTGGAATTCCCCATTTAGTAGGATAGAAGGGGATGGTTGTAGCACTAACTCACAAGGTTCTCCTTTAATAATAACAAATAGACAATAAAAGGTCTGAAGTCAAATCATTCAAAGGAAGCCAAGCATCATAGGAAAAAAATGTAGCATTCCTTGCATCTCCTACATGTATAAATATACTTATTCACTAATATATGTCAAGATTAAGCCTTTAATAAAATGACAAGGAATGCTATATTGTTGGGAGGTTGGATTTTCATGTGCTGGTAACAGACTGGAATAGGAAAATCCACAATTTAACACCTGCAGATATTCAAAGGACTTAGCTTTTCTAAAAACTGTGGCTTATCACATTGTTGGCATGGATTTTTAAAGATGCTACCAATAACTGGTCTCTCCCTTTTAAATCACCCCGGAGGTGAAGGAGGGAAGAAGAACAGGAGAACCGTGTGTATTTGCACACTCACCGCTGATCTTAAGCCTACTTTAAAGACACTGCTGAGTGATTTTCCATGAGCTGGGAGCCAGCAAGTAATCGTGCACACAGGCTACTGTCAGTCAAACTGAATTATCAATGACAAACGCATAATCTTCCCATACCTTTAATGGAGCAGACTGATTTAAAAGACGAAATCAGTAGATGGCAGCCTTAACTTCCTAACATTCGTGATGATCAGCACCTATTCCTTTTAATCTAACTCTCCCTTACAGCCATGTCAACATGTGCATTTGTTGTCCAACTTGACTGAATAAAGGCTCATAGAATTTTAATAAAGTACTGATTTGTGTCATTCTTTTATCTCATTGTTGCTCGTAAAGAATCTTGGGCTAATCTGTCAACAATTTTGTCAATTATCTGACAGAATAATGGGCCAGTTCTATCTAATATATGACAATCTCAACAATCACAGTGTATATGTGTACACGGTTTACACTGTCTTTTTCGTAATACTGCAGTCTTTCATCTAAAAGAGCTGATTTTATCAGCTTACATCCTGAGGAAGACCAGAGATCTTCCCCTTTCCAGACCAAGACCATTTTTATGAACATAACATCCTCCCCCAAAGTAGCCACCAGCCAACATTCCCCACTAGAAAAGTGATTAATGTATTTAGTACCAAGGTTTTTTTGGTTCAATTCCACAATTATTAAGTGCCTATTACATGGAAGGCAGAGAGGCAAGTATGCTGTAATGGGCAGAATGCAGATCTTGGAATCAGGAAGACCTAGGTTCAAATATCAAAAGAGGCACCTGAACTGAGCCTTGAAGGAAGCTAAAGATTCTAAGAGTTGGAAGTTAGAAGTATTCTAAATGTTGAAGCCTGCCCATACAAAGTCATGGAAATGGAAGATGGAAGGCTGAATTTAGAAAATGACAACCAGACCAGTCTAGCTGGAGCAAAAGAGTGTGCAAAGGAGTTTAATGTGAAATAAGTCTGAAAAAGGAAGTGGAAGCCAAATTATAAAACTCTAAATGCCAAAAAGTTTTCATTTTATCCTAGGCAATAAGAAGTTGCCAAAGATTCTTAAGCAAGAGAATAACACAGACCTATGCTTTAAGATTACTTTGGCAGTTATGGAGAATGGACTGGATGGGAAAGATATTGAATAACGGTGACCAATTAGGAGGTTACTGAATAGTCCTGGTGAGAGGTGATAAGAGCCTGCACTACAGTATGGTAGCTGTCTAAGTAGAAGGAAGGAGGGAGATTCAAAAGATGCTGGGGAGATTGACTGAGATTTGTCAATTGATTGGTGATGGAAGGTGTGGAAGAATGAAGAACTGAGGAGGATTGTGAGATTACCAACCTGGATGACTATAAGGAGAGTGGTGACCTCAATATAAAAAGAGAAGTTTGAAGGAAGGGAAGGTTTTAGTGGAAAAATTTTAAATTGGATATGTTGAGTTTAAGATACTTATGAGACATCCAACAGGCTTTGTCAGTGAAGGAGCTGGTGATACGGGGCTAAAGTCCAGGTGAAAAATCAGAGCTAGATATATATATAGATTTTATAGACTTCAGCATAGTCTCTTGTTCTTATCTGCAATTTAGAAGTTTATCATGGTAGAGGAGGGCAGATATTAAATATGAAAGGGTAAAGAGGGTAGTAGGAAAGGAAAGAAGACAAGTTATTATTAAGAAAATACCTAAGGGAAAACACCCCCCCTACACACACACACACACACAGCCCTGTAACATACTGCTGCCATTTTCTTGATGGCTAAATGCTGAGGACTTGCTGTCTATAAAGGTAAACATTTAAAAAGCCTAGGGTTCTGGACTCTATAGGAAGGAGACCCAGCTTGACTTTTCAGAGTTAGGAATGCAAGACATATTCTACTTCAGGAAGATGTGCTTTTCTCTTAACTTGTAATCATAGTTAACAATGACTATTCTTTCCTTCCAATACAAATTTGTTAGAGCTACATCTTTTATGTAGGCCTCAAGTCTTTGGACTCCAAAACCCAAGGCTCTTTTCATCATACCAAACTTCAACAAGAACATTTTTTCTTCACGTGTTTAAGCATAAACCACAAATAAGGCCCAGAGCATCTTTTCTATGAAAGCAATTCAACAGGGCACTCAAATAATAAGCTAGGGATTGACTAGAATGTTTCTGCAAACAAACAAGTACTGTAAACCATCTAAATACCCAGGACCTGAGCAGGCAGAGAAATGTTTTCAAAGAATCCCAAGTGGCGCCCAAGGGGATTATAAAATTAATCTCCCTCCAGAAGGAAACACAAAATTCTAATGCAAAAACATTTACATGAAAGTCATTCTCACTCCAAAAGAGAAACAAGTTCCTGCAGAGCCAAGGAAAATGAATGCAGGCTGGACTGCTGCTTCTGATGCTGAGAGTGCTGAACTCAGTCAAGACTACAGTCTGGACCTGAGGGAAAGTTTCCCTTGAAAAATAAAATCTCCCAGCTTTGATTCTGTTCACCTGTGGTTTGCTCTGATGCCTCCCCAGCGACAGGATTTCATGTTCCAACTTTCCCAATCTTAGAAAGCAATGAAAAATAAAATAAAATCAAAATGGAGTCCCAGGAGGGGAAAAAAAGAGGACACTTGGAGCCAAAGGGGTTGTTTAAACCTCAGATGACAGATTGAATAGAATATATAAATGTCTTCTCCAGGATAAAGGAAAAAAATCTCTCCAAAAACAAAAACAAAAAATGGTGGATGGAAACAAGAGGCTAAAAGATAAACTTCGTTTCAAGGAATTTAGTTTCTATGATGGAAAAATGCAATGTATTTTTCCTTTCTCTAATTCTTTAAGAAAATACCTTTTAAAAATGCTTATCTTTGTCTCCCACCTGTAGACATGGGCCTTTTAAAGATTTGTGGTATCTCCCAGACCTATGTTATTGTAAATGTATGATTAGAAGTTCAAGAGAAATAAGTAGCATGAAGAAAAAAAAATGAAGCTTTCATTCCCTGGCTAATGTTGCTAGCAGTTAGGAAGAAAGAATGAAGGGGAACAAGGAGAAAAAAGAAACTGCAAAATGGGGATAATAACAGCACCTCCCTCCCAGAGTTGTTGTGAGGATCAAATGAGATAATATTGGTAAAAGTACTTAGCAGAGTGTCTGGCACATAGTAGGTGCTATATTAATGTTAGCTATTTTTATAATTTTTAGCTTTTAAGACACACACAGAGAAAGAGATTGAAGAAAAAAGAAAGAGGAGTAGTCTGCCTAGGTTGAACTAGGCATTCATTGATTTCCAGGATGTGAAATGCTGCTTCTAGTGATTTTACAATCATTTGACTTGAGTAGCTAAAATTCATTTACTTACCTCTATAGAGTCCAAAGAAGCCTTCATAACGTAAGACTTTCTTAAAACAGTCAAAGCTGTTTTTATACATCAGCTCCCCCACAACAGATCCAGTGCCACGCTGATTTTGCATGCGTGTCTTTACCAGGTCTATGGGATATACCGCAGTGGCTCCCACAGCTGCAAATAGAACAATTTTTAGACTTAAGGAACAGTGCAACTAAATGGAGAGAATAAGATGAAAATAAATCCAATCGCCAAAGGGCCAGAAAAGTCTCTACAATATTTGTTCTTGCAGAGAACACGTTACTTTCCTCCTGCTGGACACAGCCGAAGGATGACAGGCTACCTTTGGATCCAAAAATATAGGTCCCACATAAGCTGCTTCAGGGGATAATTGCCAAGAATGCTCTTTGATATTTTAGGTATTTAATTTAAAGAACAGATTATCAATCAGCATCAGATAATCAACACTAAGTTTCCTCTAACAATAAGACTGCTATTTATAACATTTCACTTTTTTCTTCATTCTCTGCAAGGCACTTAAACACCATATTGATATTGTCTTTTTAAAAATTATTATATGTATACCACTATAATTCTTTAAATTTAGTTTACTGAAGCATTTCAGCACAGACTACATTTAGTTGCAGTCACAGAAAGAAGTGTTAGCAAGTGGAATTCCAAATCAGAAAAACAACATCAAAGAAAAAATAGAAAAGAAAGGTTAAAACCTTCTTCTCTGCATATGCAACAGACTTGCAGGAGAACAAGGATATATCTGAGTCATATCAACTCATCCAATGTTGAGAAATTAAAGGTAACCCCTAAATTTCTTACTTTAACTTACAGTAATATATATTAGATTATTGGGGGGGGGGTGGAAACCATATTCAGAACCATCTTTTTGAAAACAGGGACAGGAAAATTAGTCAATTACAGGCATGTTTTGAGGGGAAAAAAACATACACATACACATACACAAATATTTTAATTATTCCTGCTGGTTCCTCTTAACTAGGTTTCCTCAGATTATTTGACCTTCTATGTGATAAATATTTAATTAAAAAAAAAACTAACTCAGAAATCAGCAGAGGTGTTCTTTTATTTTATTAAATAAACTACAATCCAAACCAAAGTGGAGAAAAGGGGAAAAACGGTTTCAGAAAGAGAGGTTGTATTTCCTGCAGCTTCTAGGACAACGTTTATGAATCTCTGATATTTCTCTCTTAGTGCTGAGCTCCCATTCTTGGTATGGGCCCCACCTTGTATCATTCATATGAACAGGGCACTGTGTCTGGGAGCTCCAGGTCATTAACAAGGTTTTGGCCTGAAGACTTTTTGGAGCCAGAAATGCCAGGAGTGCTAGGTCAATTCCTCTGATCATCGGTAAAAATAAAGGGCATTTCAGAGAGCCTTCTGCCTTTGCCCGCCAGAACAATGAACTGCACCTTTGGTGATCTGCCCTGCTCTGAGGAGATAATGTTACATTAACCCAGGCTTGAAACAGCACATAGACATGTCACTCACCTCCAGCAATTGAACCCAAAGTGAATCTGTAAGCAGACTCAGCGATCTGGAGCCAGACAGACCTGCCTAACCCAGGAGATTGCTGTTGGGAAAAGGAGGAGAGAAAAAAAATGCAAAAAATTTAGAAAAGCACGTGGGAAATAAAAGCAGCTGTGAGCCAGCTTTTATAAAATTGGAAGAAAAAAGGCATGTGAACAAGGTATTTGATAAGGCTTACCCTTTTACTTCTGAAACAAATACCTCCCCTCCTTCCATTTTTTTTCATGTACATTTTAAATGTTTATCTATCAAGTTCTTTCATAATATACTAGTTTGCTTGTGTTGAAAACCAAGTAATTCTGGTATTTTTAAACTTAATTTCTGACTCTTCAGATTTTCATTATTTTTAAAACAGCAATGCTTCATTTATCCTAATCTTATAGGATAAAAAATAATCTATATAAATGGAATTTCCCAATAACTGAAGCTTGGTATTTTAGGAATAAAAATTTTAAAAATATTTTTTATCAAAATATCAAAATAGAAACCTTTCTTTAAAAAAAAACCTACTCCTTTCCCAGTTTCTTGAACAAATTATCAAAAACAATTACATTGGTCATCATTTTGACTAGTAACTATACTGGGTTGGCATTATAGTATATAACTGGCTAGGTTCGGTATTTGTTGCCTTATTTGCATGTCTCCTGGAAGCCCAGTCTGAGTAAGCAGAGGAATACAAGAAATTTCATGCTAGATCAGCTACATGTTCTAGAAGATAAGAGAAATGAAAAAAACTTTTCTAAAAAAGTGTAAAATGTAAGAAATTGATCGACTGAGATGTCTTATACACTGCTAAGCACTATAATGTGGCACATGACTTGGGGCCCCAAGGGACATTTTCTGAGATTCTTAAAAGGTTGGATTTTCCAATATCTGGAAATTTCCTTAATTATCTACTGTGAATTATTTTAAGACACAGCCAATGTAGGAACTTATTTGGCTTGACTATGCATACTTATTATAAGAGTTTTGTTTTTCATTTTTTCTTTTTCTTCAATTGTCATAAATGCTTGTAAATTAAAAAAAAATTAAAAAAAATTCCAAAAAATACTTGCTATATGTAATATGTAATGTATTCCATATGGAAACTCTTCTTGAACCTAATTTGCATTTTTAGTTTGTGCCACCTCTTGAACTAACAAGTTTTATAAGTATATGATCCCTGGTATGAAACAAAATTTTCTTTTGTCCTAAAACTATTTCATTTTAGGGGGTGACCCCTAATTTGGCATTCTGGAATTTGGAAAACAAGTTCATAATTTAACTATATGTATGAGCTTCATTTAAAAAATAAATAAATAAAAATGAACTTCACTGATGCCCCTCCAGATAGATACTACCCTAATGACAAACACCAATTAAGAAAACATCTAAGACAGAATCTGACACTATAGTCAATATGCTGGCCTGGTAGTTCCCCTCCGACCTTCTGCCATGAAGCAGGAAATACATTTCATGAGATCGCAAGGACCGTTACTAGTTTTTCCATTACTCAGTATTCAACTTCCCTTTAATAATCAGTTCAATCTCATTTTTGTCATCATTGTGTATGTATATCGCTCTCTGGACCCTGCATACTTCATGATACCTCAGTTCTTATATTCTTCGCAGATTTCTTTGAATTCCTCATCATATCTTAGTGCACAATTCTATTCTATCACATTCAAATATCATGTTTAGAGTTTTTTGGTTTTGTTTGGTCATTCTTCAATCAACAGAAACCTATTTTGTTCTTAGTCTTGCTGCCACAAAGAGTGTTCCTATGAGTATTTCGATATATATATATAATATATATATATATATATATATACCTATTAGTCCTTAGTTCAATCAACTTTCTTGAGATGCATGCCTAGGAGTGAGAGTGTGAACAATTTAGCTATTTTCTTTCATAATTTCAAACTGAGACAAACAATAGCTGAATCACTTAAGAGCCACACCAACAGTGCACCAGCATGCCCATACAGCAGTCCAACATGGACCCTTCCCATCTTTTCTCATCTTTGCCAATTTGCATGGCATGAGGGGAAACCTCAGAGTTGTTTTAATGTATATTTTCCTTAGTATTAGTGATTTGGAACATGCTTTTATTTAGAGTTTGCAGTTCTCCTGATAACTATTTATTCATATCCTTTAACCATTTATCTATAGGGGACTCTGCTTGGCATCATAAATTGTCAATTTCCTATATATTTGGGATATGAGGCAAAATTGGTGATGTTTGATGCAAACACTTTCTTCCATGTCACTGTTTCTAACTCTGTCTACACTGATTTGTAATAATAATAATTAATAATAAGGATGGCAATGATACTTAGCATTTATTTAGCTCTTACCATATGCCAGGTATTGTGCTAAGCATTTTACAAGTTCTTTGTTATTTGATTCTCACAACAACCTTGGGAGGTAAATGTTATTATTATCTCTGTTTTACAGTTGAGGAAACTGAAGTAGACAGGGGTTAAGTGACTTGCCCAGGGTTACACAGCAAGGAAGTCTCTGAGGCTAGATTTGAATTTAGAGCTTCCTCAATGCCTGGTTCAGAGCTCTGTGCACTATGGCGCCACCTAGCTACCTCTGTAGCACAACATAGCGGATAAAGTCAAGAAGACATCATGAAATCAAATCTTGCATCTGATATGTACTAGTTTTATAGTCAAGTGGTTGTCACTTAAACTCTCTGAATCTCAGTTTTCTCACTTATAAAATGGGACTAATACCAATAGAATCTATCTCACTTAACTGTTACGAGGCACAAATGAAACAATATGTGAAAAGAACTTTGCAGTCTTTAAAGCACTGAATAGATATCAATTGTTATTATTACCATTATTATTATAATTATCACCACCATCATCATCATTACTGTTGTTATCATTATTATTTTCTGTTTCAAGTCAGCTGGGATTTAAGAAGTTAGAAACATGTGTAAATGAAATGAAACAGTGAACAGGCTGAAGAGTCTACCCCATGGACTAAAATGTACTTCAATACATCTGTGTCTAGAGTTTGGAGACCTTTCTTATTTTCTGATTCTCTCTGAAATGCTCGAGGCTGCCAGGAATGTGATTTCTGGATAAGTGAAGTGTTAATGTAACAGGGTACAGGTCACATTTGTAGTTTAGAGACATATGTGATAGAAGCAGTTTTTATTACATAATTTTTTTTTTATTTTTGGAGGCAATTGGGGCTAAGTGACTTGTCTAGGGTCATACAGGGGTAAGTATCTGAGGTCAAATTTGAACTCAGATCCTCCTGACTCCAGGACCAGTGCTCTATTCACTGTAGCATCTCACTGCCCCTGGAAGCAGTTTTTAAAATGCTATTGTCACCTGGCCCTCAAAGCACATTTTTAAAAAACCAAACTTGTGATGTCATTGGTATAGGAAGCTTATCAATGAGAAATTATCTCTAAAATGCAAATAATTACCTTCGTAACAACTTATAGTTTGAAAGAATTGCCTGAGGCCCTAAGAGTTTTAAGTGACTTGTCCAAGGTCACAGAGCCAGTGTGTGCCAAAAACTGGACTTGAACCCAGGTCTTCCCAACTCTGAGGTCAACTCTCTATGGATACTACTTTTCAAAGTATAATTATGTACAGTAAAAATGCTTTATAAAATCCTTAAAATGCTATAAAATTCTGAGTCATATTTATTACTACTGATGAAAGCCCAGTGTTACATGGCTACCATATGCCAATGGGTCAGTCATCCATAACAGATTCCCACCGAACTATTACAACATGTTCGAGGCATATATAGCAAGGCAAGATCTCTCCTATCTTAAAGGAAGCTATTAAAAATATAAATTGAATTAAAAAAGTATTTACTAAGTACCTACTTTCGGAGCTCTGTGCCAAGCACATAAGTATCATAGTTACAAAGACTAAAGTGAAATAGTCCCTCCCCTCCAGCACTCTCAGGGGATGCAAAGTAACACTCAGAGGGAGAGAGAGGCAACAAGTGGTGAGATCAGAGAAGGCCTCCCAGAGGCAGACACCTGAATTGAACCTTGAAGGAAGGCAAGGATTCTAAGAGATGGATTCAAAGAGAGAATGTATTCTAGGTCAGCCTGGGCAAAGAACACAGAGGCGAGGGGTGGAATGTTGGTAGTCAGGAAACAGCCAGTAGTCATTCCGGTTTGGCTGGAACACAGAGTGCTTGAAGGTGAGTAATGGGAAGCAAGCGATGGCCGTATATCTGGAAAGGTAGCTTGGAACCAGATGGCAGAGGATCTCAAATGTAAGGCTCAGGAGTATTTCAGCCTAGAAGCAATGGAATATTACTGAAGATTTTTTTTTTCAACAGGGGACTGACATAATCGGTCATAGTCAGATCTGCTCTTTTAGGACGATTATACTGACTACTATGAAGAAAAATGATTTGACAGGGAAGAGACTACAGGCCCGGAGATCAATTAGTAGCTACATCCCTAGAGTGTTGGTCATATGAGTGAAGAGGAAACAGATAGGAATAATGAAAACAATAGAAATTTGGCCACATGGGGAATAAAGAAGAGGGACGAGTTTTGAATGACCTTAAGTTTATAAACCTGGGTGGCTGAGAGTATATTGGTGTCCTCCACAGGACTATAAATTTCTAATAATTCTCAAAAACACACACAAAAAAAACCAAATTGCTTATGAAATTTTATTAATGTTTATCACAAGTCATGTACATGAAAGAGGAAGGACATACTCCAAATTCAAAAGCGAAAAAGTTAAGTGGCAGTAAGACAAGAGACCTAGGGATAAAGGGTCTGGTTGATTATTGTTTTGTGTTCCTGATTCAGTCACAGTATCTCCAGATCTGCCCTGGTCAACTGGTAAGTTCAAGATCCGGACATTTACTTAATAAGCAATTTTAATGAGATCACCAGTGCTCCTGAAGGTCTTATCTCTGCCTTTTTATTTTATGGATTTTTCCCCCCAACAGTAGGTACCAGTACCAGTATTTTAATGTTGTCAATATCATCTGAAATTTAATTATCATATTATTTTTCCACTCAAATACTATTCAAATTCATTAATTCATTCAATTTTC